GTGGATTCCAAGCTCGTGAGCTCTTGTATCGATTGAATAGTCACTTCAATCATGGTTGGGCATCTATCCTTATATTAATCGAGCCTTTCTCCAAGTGTGGAATTGCACGTTTGATTCTGTATTATCCCAAACACCCAAGAACATCCGTTTTTTGTTCGAATTTCGTTCTAATCAATCCAATAAACTTGCATGTATCTAGATTGGTTTAGAGCTTGTTTGTGCCTTGGTGGGCGCACTTATGCATGTAATGGTTATTGAATTGAAAATATCCACCAAGTGCTTGATTAAACAGTTAGTCTTGATACCATGTTGTGATTGTTGAATGATGGCCATCAAGACATAACCTACCATTGCAAATGCATCATGCCTTATATATGAAACACATAGTTGCATGCCTCGATGTGTTTTTGGGATGAATAAGTTTATTTGATGGTGAACCAGCCTTGTGAAAAGTTTATGCTAGCTTATCATCGATGTTGGATATTAAGTGTGGTGAGAGGTTTTTTCCCCATTGTGCTTTATCTTATTATATTTCTACGTATGGTTCTTGTCAATTTGGTGTTTTTGCAGGATGGTTGACCCTATGCACTCATTAATTCAGCCATCGGTGGATCATCCTGACTACGAGGATTGGTACCAGTCATAGAGAAACGGGGACATAGGACCCCATTAGCGCCTCGACCTCGACATGTTCGGGCTTTTCCACTGCCATGCTACAATCTCTGTAGTCATTGCTCATCCACAGTGGCGCCAACTACTCAGCGTTGATGATCCTATATACCGGGAGTACTGCTTGGAGTTCTACTCCATATACAGGAACGTGAAGCCCCAAGGACGATGAGCTCAGCCGTCTATCTAGTTCAGTCTGGATGGAGACATCCACATGATCAGGTATGACGCTTATGCCCATATTTAAGTCTGAACATGGTGATCATGACCATGACATAGCTAGAGTACACCTGGGATGTGGATCCCCAACAATTGTTTGAGGCGATCTACCTGGAGGAGCACAAAGGTCCGGGATTTTATGCGGGGCACACGAGGGAGACTTTGTTCCGACCCTAGTATAGGATCCATCACATGTTTCTCACCCACTTTGTGGTCCCGAGTATGAAATCTTAGAGGCAGGTGACCTTGAGAGGGATTATGGCTCTCCATTATTTGAGGCGACCGAGGGTGCCCCTCTATCTTGGAGTAATTGTGGCAACCTCATTCTCGAGGATTTTGGGCCGAGGGCGTTTCTACACGATGCTGATGAGCCCCATCATCACCCACCTGTCGAGATTCTATGGGTGGACACAAGTCACACGACCATCTGCATGATGGTCGGTCGAATAGAGATATACCCGGTGGAAACACTCCACCATATGGGTATGGTACATGCTGAGAAAGGCATTTAGTACATAGATGGCCTCTAACCTTCAGCATTCTTCTGAATGGTGGTAGAGGAGGTTGGAGATTCGTTCCAGAGGGATTAACTTCCACGCCGGTGTGGCCACACCGATGGATCTACTACCTCATCAAGAGCCAGTCCTTCTTTCTCGGCTATCTTGAGGCCCGAGTCATTGCACTTGAGGGCAAGGCAGCTGGTTTCTCTTCTCAACTCGACCAAGGGCGTGATGTCGGACGCCATTCACATCGCATGGAGTACCTCTCAAGGTATTCAGTTCCAGGAACCCTACTAGCATCTTTCCCCTCCTCGCCATGAGCAGCCACCACTAGACGATGACCAGTCGTAAGTGCCATGTGGGCACCGTACTACTACCATCACTCCATTTTTCTCCCCTTTTGACTCTAGATTTTCTTTTCTTTCTCTCTCTTTAGTGTTTTATTGTGAACTACTTGGTTCACTTTTTCTATGTATTGTTATATTGACTATTGTATTTGTGTTTAGGTATTTGTTTTGTGTGAAGCTCTCCCTCCCCCTCGAAAATTGTTCCAAATTCAGTCTGACTTTCATTCGTTAATTATTCGGTAACTTCGTTCCTCCCTATTCTTTCTCCATCAGGGACAATATCATGCTTAATTGTGAGGATGTTGAAGATGTCATTTATAGCTTGTTTTAGTAGCAAAATTGTTCTGCACCCATCGCATAGTCAGAAAAATCCTACTATATTGTAACTTTAGTTTTTCTATACTTCTACATCAATAAGTAATTATGACGTACTACTATTTTGGAAGTTATTATTTTTTAAATAATTCCTTCTTTGTATATATGTTATATGTTAGTGTCATCAAATCAATTTCGGAGGTCCAATTTTATAAATTATGCGTGAGCCAGTAACATTAATACAATTTAATAAAAAAATCACAATATATTGTTCAATTCAAAATTGTCTTATAAAATAATAAATTTACATGTTGTAGGAGCTAAGTTAACTAATTGAACAATTAATGATTTAAATACAAGGGTAATGTTTATTTATTATTCAAATCTTTTCAATATTATTTTATTTTATCCAAACATATAGAAATTTTATTTATTATTCAATTGTTACCCCACCGTTACATAATCCGTTAAGTTTGTTAACTCAGCAGCATCAGTTCGAGTTCGAAGCCAACGTGGTGGTTTGAGAGGGCATTTGTTTTTAATTAAAAAAGATAATGTCTATTTATTTTCCAAACCTTTTCCATATTTTTTTTATTTTATCTAAACCTATTAGAATACTATTTATTAACCAAACGTTAACTCACCGTTAATAATTCCGTTAATATTGCTAACTCAAAATCATGATTCTGAGTTGGCTGCCAACGGGCAGTCACCATCCCATTATTTTTAATTTTAATTTAAAAACTAATTAAATCAAAAAATTGATGAGAAAATGACAAAAACCCTTCTCCTGCATATTCCCCGACCTTCCATTCTTCTTCTTCTACGTACACCCTGACTGATCGACGAACCCAACGTGCTCATAAGACTACCATCCCCTCCATCGATCAACCCCTTCATTCACTCCATATCACCCTTCAATTGCGTCGTCGCTGGTAGAAGAAAAAAGGATGACGTTCGACGCGGCGTAGGTCGTGACGACGACGACGAGTAAGAAGTCATCTTCGCTTCGCCCTAGCTCCACTCATCCCTTCAACGTCCTTCCGACGCAAGGCCAACAACATTCATCCCACTCTGTTTTTGTGCCGAGTACGACCAACAAACCCCACTGCCGATGACTCCTGATTCTTCAATCAGACTCACTTACTCATCCCCCAACCTACCTGACTCGTCACCGCCTTCGATTCCACCCACTATGCCTCCTTCACCTGCTTCTTTGCGTTCCTCCACAAAGATCTAACAAATTCTTTTGGTTTATGAGTTTTTGGATCTAACAGATCCTTTGATAGAGAGGCGATGGAGGAAGGGGAAAGGCAGAGAGGCAAATGAAAAATTAATTAAAAATTAAAATTTGATGAATTTCTGAGGTGGATGATGGCATGGATTTTGAGTTAGTTAGTTAGTTAGTTACAATACGTTTGGTTAATAAATAGTATTCCTATAGGTTTGGATAAAATAAAAGAAGGATAATTTCTATTTTTTATCCAAACCTTTTCAAAATTCTTTTATTTTATCCAAACATATTGAAATTTTATTTATTTTCCAAACGTATTGTAACGAATCAAAGTTCGGGCATTCGTTATGTTACCGTTACTTATTTTTGTAACAGAGCTCCACGTAAATAGGGAAATCCAGATCTATGAATCGGAAGAACAAAAAATCAAAAGATGGGTTTTGGGGAATCGAGTTTGATGATGGGTTGGGCGTCGGATGGGAGCAGGGATTGGTAGGATTGCTTGGACTGACGGTGACGCTGGTGCAGGAGGGTTGGAGGAAGATGAAGAGGAGTCGGCAGCCTTATGTGATTGGGCTTCTGATTCCGACGATGGCCAAATCGATGAGGAAGAGGGCGGGTGGAGGTTTTGCCGCAACTGGAGAGGGTTGGGAAGAAAGAGATCGAAGGAGTGGGGAGTAGTGAGAGGCGGAGGGAGAAGTAGTGAGAGGGAGGGGAGAAGATGTGAGGGGGTGGGATCCTTTTTTGTTTTTCTATTTTTTATAATCTTTTTATTAAAAATAATAAATGATAGTTTCTGACTGCCACGTGGGAAACCAACTCATCATGGTCATGCTTAGTCAGCATTACTAAAAAGAACTTATAGCCAAGTGTGCATTATCCAACATGCTTACCAACAAACTAAAAAGAAATCAAATTTTGAGAAACCTCATATCCCGTGCTTCTCACATGATTTCAACTCTAAATTGGAGACCATGTGTTTTAGGACTGACCAAGACATACCACTAACGAAATAGAACACTGATCGACCTTCCACTACAAGAAAACCTAGTTATAGAGACAAATAATTAGAAGCAGTTATTGTATTAGTCTCCATAGCTAATTTTTAGGGGCAAAAATATTATTTATCTCAGTACGTGAATTTATTTGTTTCTATTTCATAAGATTCTCTTATAATTTATATATAAATAAATTAAAATAATACCTTGAGAGACATTTATTCTATTTGCGTTTATTTAATATATAAATCATACATATATAGACAAATCTAAATGCTTTTAGAAACAAATAAAAATGTTACTTACGATGTGTTATACAGAGACAAATATGCTAGTCTTTATATACGAATACAAATGCTACCTATAGTTATGTCATATAGGACCTAATATAATCGTCTTTAGAGACAAATAAAAACGACACTTACAACTATATCTTACAGAGACAAATGTAATAGCGTCTATATAGACAATTACCGATAGTAGTTCTAGAAAGTAAAATCCATCACAAAATAAATTCCTTATTTATTTATAATATTTGTATTGACTTGTTATTAAATAAACCCTGACCATGGTAAAAAAAAAATCCTCCAATTCGCTTCTCTTCACCACATTTATTATCCTTTCCCTTCTAAGCAACCCTAATTGAAAAAGCACCCAAATCCGAAGAAGCCAGTTCTCTAATCTAATCTCCCCTCTGCAATCTAAATCGATTAGCACACACAATCGCACAGCCAGCCCTCCGTTAGCCACTCATCTCCGCTCTTCATTTTCTAACCCCGTTCCAGCGACAACTTCTCTCCATGTATCTTCTCCGATTATCTCTTTTACCCGAAGATTACTACTCTCTAGTTTTACTTTGATGGGACTGGTAAGTTCTTTTTATTCCTTTGACTCTATTCGACTCTCTTTATGATTTGTAAAGCTCTGCTATAGGATCTGAGATTTTCATATTCCTTTTGGTTTTGTCTACTCCGAGATGCGCTCATCTTCTTGGTGGTAGTATGCGGACTGGATAAAATGGGTATGATTAAGTAATGGGGATTTAACTTTTCAGAATCCCTCATTGTGGGAAACCCTATGCAGACTGGATAAAATGGGTATTATTAAGTAATGGAGATTTTAACTTTTCAGAATCCCTCATTGTGGGAAACCCTATGCGGACTGGATAAAATGGGTCTTATTAAGTAATGGGGATTTTAACTTTTCAGAATCCCTCATTGTGGGCAACCCCTGTTGTGATTATCCTTTTTCTCTCAAGGAGGAAGATGACTTTGTGTAACAGGTATGTGTTTCGTAGGCCAATTATGTGTGGAATCTGGATCGAACTATAAATTGGTTTTATATGCTAATATTATAACTAGGTGCACTAAGTGCAGCAACTTAGCAAGTATTAAGTTGGCCATTGATTTGTCAAGTGCAAACTCTATCTTCTAGCAGCCATAACCAAACTGGGGACGGACATAGTACATTTATGTGATTCTCATCCCTTTCATTTTTAGGTTTATGGCTATGCTCCAATTATTTTGGTAGGTTAATAATTCTTAGTGATATGTTTCCAAGGAATGACACTATTTTCGTGCAGGACTTGAGACATACTTTTGTTTATCTTAGTATCAACCAGTTGTTGAGGATAGTAAATTACAACAGCTAATGTGTTGATTCCGGCCTAATTGTACATGTTTTCCCCCGTTTTACTTAGGTGTTTGTGCCAAATTCACTCCAAAAAGGTTGGTTTTACGCTAAGTTCCTCTTGCTTTAGTGTGTTTCATGATTTAACAGGTGAAACCATCCTCGGTAGGGGTGGGATTCGGTCGGTAAACAATTTACCGTTTACCGAATTTACCGGTTTCGGTATACCGAAGTTGGCCAAACTGGTTACCGATTACCGATACCGGTTTGTAACCGGTTTACCGATTACCGAATTACCGGTAAACGGTAACAAACCGGTATTACCGAAATACCGTGAAAGGCGATTTCGGGCGATTTTTTCGGTCGGTTTACCGAATATTTACCGAACCGAATCTCTGAAAGTGGGGTGATGTTGTAATATTTCGATTTTTTTGAGTTTTTTCATCATTTTTGTAATTAATAATTTATTATTAACTCTTATTTACAATATTTTTGAGGCCTATACTTACATTCATGATGTAATATTTTATATTTGTGAATAATGATGTAATATTTTTCATAATAAAGCAACAAAACGCAGCGCAACACTAGGGAGTAGGGAGGGGGGATTCGGTATCGGTAATACCGATTTACCGTCGGTATTTACCGATACCGTTTTCGGTAAACCGACTCCCCCAACTTCCCGCTCGGCTACCGATACCGCCGGTAAACGGTTTACCGTTTACCGCCGGTTACCGGTTCGGTAAAACGGTAAACCGTTTACCGGATTACCGTTTACCACCCCTAATCCTCGGAGTCGAAAGTTGGGTGAAAAGGATGGAAAGCCGGGAGAAGAGGTGAAAAGGGTCATTTCACGATCATCCAAGGAAGTTCACGGTCTTGCATGACCGTGAAGAAGAGCCCTTGACCGTGAATTGCGAGGCGTCCAGAGCCAAAATAGAGGTTACTGATGCAAGTTGAGTTCACGGTCGCTAAGACCGTGAACGAAGACTGTTGACCGTGAACAGTAGAGATCGAAGCGGTGCGTTTTGGCGCACGCCTGCAGTTCACGGACGCGTTTCATGGTTCACGACCGTGAACTTAGGCCGTGAACTGAGCTCGTCTCTGGTTTAAATTATGAGCTAAAAGTAGGAGAGACGGGAGAGCCCACTTTGTGTGAAAAGCCTTCTTATGATGGTGAGAGTGGGCAAGTTTTGCTATCCGACTGATTTCGTGATTCTCGACATAAGTGAGGACTCGGATAAGCCCCTCATCGTCGGTCGTCCCTTTCTTGCAACCACCAAGGCATTGATAGACGTTAATGAGGGCACCCTAATTTTGAGGGATGGTAAGGAGAGAATCAAGCTTGAAATCGATTCTAGGGTTAGGAGTGATGAAGTGAAGGGAGTAGTTTCATATGATGTGAATGAGAGTGGAGGAGAGCCTCTCCAGGCAAACCCCACCATTACTTGTGTTGCTTTTGGTGATGTTGAGCAGGAAGTTAAGAAGGGTCCTAAGCCCAAAGGATCTAGGATGAATGCTTGGAGAAGAAGGATGAAGGGAGTTTGGACCCGGAAGATGGGAGAGGCCGAAGCAATGTTGGCCAACAAGAGTGCCAACTCAAGGAACCTAAAATGGGAGGCTACAAGCCTCGCCCCGAGAGTGTGGTGGATCCGCTCTCGGTGGCATCACGTTTGAAGTCGTGATCGATCCCCAACCATCAATCTAATGACGATAAATTAGCGCTTGTTGGGAGGCAACGCAACGGAGGTTTGTTTTCTTTTCCTTAATTTTCGTTTTAGTGTTTTGTGAAGAGTTCGAGTGGTGAAGTGGTGTCCCCGTGCTGAGTATTGTGGTTTTGCGATTTATGGTTGTGTTGTGATCGGTTAGGAGGCACGGAGGAATAGGTTGAGTCAAAATTTTAGCAGAAGTGCCATGTTTTCACTGTTGTTCACGGACAGATTGCTGAGTTCACAGTCTTATAAGACCATGAACATGCAAACGCGTCTGTGAACTGGGTACTGATACATGTTCATCACCTGTCAACCACTCCGTGTTCACAGACGTGTTTGAGAATTCAAGGTCGCTAAGACCGTGAACTGGGCAACGTGAACTTCGAGTCGTGCCTAACTGCCTATAAAAGGGGCGGGAACGGCTACTCAACACTTCACGACCAAAATCTAGCCGGAAAATTTCAAATCTTCGCGGGAAAACGCGAAAATCCATCGTTTTTTCGATTTTTCCCCCATTTCCGGAAAGCAAAACCCAAAACCAACGTATTACCCAGTCTCCTCTCCTGAAAACCGGCCTGTGCTGAGATTTTGGGGAGATTTGGAGCACATTCTTACTGGCCAAGTCACCAGCAGCGAGTCTCCAACGAGATTCCGACGAAGCTCCGACGTCCCCTCTCCGGTCAGTTTCCCAAACGTTTTTCACCGTCCTCGCCCTCACCTCACTTCCTCCTATTTAGGGTGAGGATTTGGGTGAATTAGGTTTATTGAATGATGGATTGATTTTAGCATGAGCTTAGTGAGCCTTGGTGGGCGTGTTTGAATCGAATTGTGTTTATTTTTAGAATTTGTCCACCAAGTGTTATGTTATGAATGCAAGTGGAGTTTATTCTTGTTTGGTGGATGGTAGCCACCGTGGTAAGGGTTGTGAGTCAACTTTTTGTGTGCTTGAACCGTGAATTACCCAAAAACATGCCACGGTGGTTTGGTTTTAAATGTTTGATAACCATGGTGGAAAAACAAGTGTGTGGGGGGGGGGGGGGGATTTCTTTTCCTCCCAATGAGCATTGTTTGACGAATGTTTCCACGTATGGTGTATGTTTCTCAGTTGTGCAGGATGGTTAACATGGATCACCCATACCTTGTGGAGCTAAGGAGCATCCCTGAAATGGAGAGATAGGCTTAATTTTGGGCTTCTTCGAGAGCCGGTAACCATTGGATACTCGACTTCGGGCAGTTCGACAGGCTTCATTGCGGTGACGTTATGAGGGAGGCAATGGTGCACCCACAATGGTGCTAAGCCCTTGATCTTGAAGATGACACTTACGGGGAGCTATGCGTCGAATTTTTCAGCACCTTCACCATACGTAAGAGCCTGTGCCTACTCGGTCATCCAGTACGTCGGGTCGAGTTTCGATTGGGAGGGGAACTTCGCAATTTGAGCTATGATGAGTAATACGACCCTGGGGGTGTATTTTACCAAAGTCACACAGCAAAAAATCAATCCGAAGATTGATTGAAATGGAATCAAGAACAACGCGTTCTTAATAAAAAAATTGGATACAACGGAACCAACGGACAATTCCACACCTGGGGAAAGCTCGTTTGGTATAAAAGGGTAGCTGCTCGACCATGATTGAAGATAATATTCAATCGATACAAAGCTCACAAGCTTGGAATCCACCAAACTCAAACAAGTCGCAACTTGCACAAGCCAAAGGATTTATTTTTCGATTAATCAAAGCCTAAGTCTTTACAACGAAAATAGAAGGGCTATTTATAGCCAAGAAAACCTAATACAAAGCTAAATGAACAAGAAAAAAATAAGGTAAAATTCTACTCTAAAATGGACACAAAATTCGGACCCAAACTTCCTTTCTTGAAGCACAAGTAAGCTGCCATCAAACAGTCCAAAATCAGCTTTCGTACTAACTTCGCGCCTTTCCTTCGTGGCCTTCCAGAACTCCAATCTTTCATCCAATTCCTTTCCTTGGTAGATAAACATACCTATTTTCATGTTGTTGAAGCCTTTGGACTTGAATCCTTTCCATGCTCCTCGAATTGAACTCCAAAGTAGGCTTCATGAACATAGATTTATACTCGGACAGATTCTGGCAGTTTTCCTGTTTTGAGGTAGCAACTTTGAGGCCTTGGAAAACAACCTTAATAACTTCGTCTGGATTCAAAAAGCACACCATTGGAAAGATGACAACTTTATCTTTAAAACAAGCCTTTGAACTCCAATTTTAAGTAACCCAATTGTGAGAACCATGCCCCCAAAGAAGGCATCTCGAAACTGTTCTAACAATTCAACCAAATTCTGCCTCTTTTCTTTCCAACCTTGATAGCTTATTTGGAAAGTAATAAAAACATGTAGAGTTGGCCATTTGGGATCATATCAAGCTCCCCCTCTTCAAAAAGCTTTGCCCTCAAAGCTTGATCCTTCCTCTTGTTAAAAACTTCACAGAATTGATCGCAAATTGGATCGAAAGAGGGTTGCTCGAACATGTTCTTCTGCAGAATTTCGTCACCTAGAATCTTCAATTCGAAATTGGGCGTTTCTTGTTCAATCATTGTGGTGACGAATTGATTGCTGATACACCTTCCAAACACCTCCCGGAACTCGTCTACAGTGATCGTTTGGTTCGAATCACTCTCCATTGCTCCAACGAGAACAGTAGCTTTGGAGTCACATTCCGGCATCTGCAGAAGCAATTTTGCAGAATTGAGGACTTGGATTTGATGCTTCTTGGCTTTGATTGTTGTTAGGGAATTCATTCCTGGGGTATTTTGGAGCGTATCTGCAGTCGTGAGAACACAGACACTGTTTTGCCGGAGAAAGATAGGGGTCGTCGAGCTTCTGCCGTTGCTGCAGCTCCTGGACACCTTCAACAACGCCAATGGAAGACGCAGAAGTCTCCCTTGCTTGTGTTTGTCGAACATAAGATTGATCCCGAGCTGAATCTTCCAGAAGCAGAACCTTCAAAGCATAGCTAAGCAGCCGAGGAGCCACCTGCTCATGCACCCGGCCGCCGCCGACGCCTAGCGCCCTGCACAGCAGCCACCACCAGCAGCAGGCGATCCCCTCGTCCATAGGGTGGATTGCTTAGAGA